CTAAAGTACATGCTTTATGTGTCTTAAAGGTGGGACGGGTGTGTGCCAAAAAAAAAAAAAAAGGTGGGACGGGTCTGAATTCCTCAGCTAAAAAAAGAACTATCCTTAGTTAGCACCAAAAATAATAATAGCATATATTAGAAAACATGTTATCAGAAAATATCATTCTTAAGAAGATAATCCATAATGAAAATAAATATAATAGAAAATTACATTTATTAAAATAAATTACATATAGCGAAAATAAAAAAAATACTTCCAAAAGTGATTCAAACTATTTCCAAAGCAGATTCAATTTTGGTTCCAAAACATTTTTTCAAGAGTTTTTCTAAAACGTTTTTATTTAAATTTTCACTTCCTAATTTTTATTTGTACCAATAAACATGCATTTTTGAAAGATATTCTGATATATATGAGAGCTTTCTAAATTTTAGTAAATATTTTCAAATACGTATATATATATTATTAACATACAGAAAGTTATCAATATATAATTTAGGATATATTATATTCACATCTAGAAATTTAAATAAATAAAAATATTTGTAGTTGCCATATTGTGTGGATATATTTTAACCAAATTTGAATAGTATAATCAAGGACAACAGATTATCATTCATATAGTATCAGGATAACTTCCCTTAATATTTATATTTTTTTCTTATATTTAAAGAATTGTATACATAAATATGAAAATTACATTTCTCCAACCACAACACCAAACCTTAAGCTAAAAATTATTATTATATTATTAAATTTGTTATTATTTAATATTTAAAATATGAATAAATATTATTTACTAATTCTATTACTTAAAGAAATACAGTAAAAATATTTTTATAATATATTTAATATTTCACTGTATAATAATAATTATTATTATTAAATAATAATTTTGAATAAATAATTTGAATACATATAATATTTTACTATAAATATTTATTAATTTTATTTTATATGTATTTATTTTCTTATTTGTCATTTATTTAATTGTCTATTTTATTAAGAAAATACGTGAATAGTATTTATTGTGGTAAATAGTATCAGACCAAATTTGGTGTGAGATTATAGAGTTGCATTAAAATAGTTTAACTCTTAGTTTTGGGTTAGAGAAATTTTTGTGTAAAAGTCACATTAAAATAGAAGTTTAGGGTTGGGTTAAAGATGACCTAAATGTCTAAAACATACACAAAAACTTTCACTACATTCTTTATGATGAACTGTTTGTCCATTTAAACATTTACAAGTTGTCAAAAAATCATTTATAAATATTCATGTAAACAAAATTGTTCCCTTTTAGTTAACACACTGTGTTGAAATATTAGAAAATGTTGGACGATTATATGAATAGACACGCGATTATCATTTATCCCTGAAGGTATTCCTAAATATATATGACAATTTCCTACAATTTTAAATGTATTTAATACTTTCTAAGAACAGCTTCATGTAAATGAGTAAACCTTACCTGACTAAATTAGGAAAAAGGTTAAAGACTTCGAAAACAAATTCATTCAATTTGAATTTCATTTTTCTTTTTATTATGATATTCACTTTTAAATTAGTTAATAAATATATTTAATTCATTATATAGTTGTTAATAAAAAATATATTTATCTTTTAAGGAATTTTATTTTGTGACTTTATGTGTGATTTCTAGATAAGTATTTTTTTGTTAAGCATAAATTTTATAATATATAAATTAATCAAAAAAAAATCATGAATTTTATTTTAACATCTACAAAACAGAATCAGTTATAATGCAATTAAGGTTTTTAATATTCTTCCATTAGATGATTCTGGTTATTTTTAATATTTATTTGTAGATAAATGTGTCAAAATATAAGTTATTTCAATTTTTAGCTAATCCACTATTTACAATGCTTTTAGTTTTCATTATATATATATATATATATATATATGTATATATGGTTGAACTGTAGATTTAAAAATTTTATTGTAGAATTTAGACTGTAGATGTTTTTGATGTAGTTGTATCTAATGTAGCTGTGGTAATTAAATGAAAAAAAAAAATATAAAAGGAAAGATATTCCTACAACAATCCTACAACAATAATTTTTTGCTTTAAAAAATAAGGTTCCTACAACCACTTTTCCATTTTTTTGACTTTAACTTTAAAAACTATTTAAAGCATGATTGGTGATTTAAATGGTTATAGATAAAAATTAAAGCTAAAGTCATTACTTACAATCCAACAAATCACCCTCATTATAATTATGTATGACAATTACTTTATACTGTTATCTGAAATATAATTAATTTGTATTTTGTAAAATAGTCTTGATTTGTATATGATGCAAACTTTTGTGCATTTTCTTCTGTAGCAAATCTCTAATTAAATTTAACCCATTTAAAAGAATTTATAGCTCCGCCAATCAAAATATGTATTCGGTTTAGTTTCTAGTCCAGATTTAAAAACGTTATGAATAATAGTGTCAGTTTTCCATTTGTTTGACGAACATACAATGACGTTTACACAGATTCTAACATTTTTTTTCTAAATAAAACTAGAATGTCATCTTCTATGATTATTTTTCTAAAGATTTTTTTGTGTGCTATAATTTTCTTGGGTTGCAGCCATAGCTGTGGCGGGAGGTTCCCTGGACAGTGATAGAGAAGTCTTAATGGACCTAAAAGTGTACCTCGAATCTCACAACCCAACCAACGGAGGAATGTACATGGCGTGGAAAGTCGAGGAGGAAGATGTGTGTCAATGGCCAGGCATCACATGTACGCCGCATAGAAGTAGAGTCACAGGGATCCATCTAAGCGAGTCCCTCATCGCAGGTGCTCTATTTGGGAATTTCTCGGCTCTAACTCAGCTCACATATCTCGATTTATCGAGAAACACTATCGAAGGTTCAATACCAGATGACCTGAGCCGTTGTCAAAAGCTAAAGCATCTGAATCTTTCTCATAATATCATTGAAGGGGAGCTTAATTTAATGGGGCTATCAAATCTTGAGGTTCTTGATCTATCAATGAATAGGTTTGCAGGCAGTATACACTCTAGGTTTCCGTTGTTCTGCAACAGCTTGGTTGTTGCAAATCTCTCGACAAACAAATTAACGGGTAGAATAGACAACATCTTCAGTGGATGCCGGTATCTTAAGTATGTTGACTTCAGTACCAATAGATTTAGTGGAGAGATAGGGGCTAGTTTGGGAAAGTTGGTGGAGTTGTCAGTTTCTGAAAATGTTCTCTCCGGGAATATCTCAGCTTCAATGTTCATGAGGAACTGCACTCTGCGAGTGTTGGATTTGTCTGAGAATGGTTTTGTTGGGGAGTTTCCAGGACAAGTTTCTAACTGTCAGGATCTGAGTGTATTGAATCTATGGGGAAACAACTTCACCGGGAGCATACCAGCTGAGATAGGCTCCATATCCTCTCTCACAGGTTTGTACTTGGGGAACAATAATTTTTCTCGAGACATACCGGAAACTCTCCTAAATTTGAGAAACTTGGTGTTTCTTGATTTGAGTAGAAATGGTTTTGGAGGAGATATACAAAACATATTCGGGCGTTTCACTCAAGTAAAGTATCTAATTCTGCATGGGAACTCATACGTTGGAGGCATCTATTCTTCCAAGATATTCAAGTTACATAATCTTTTCAGGCTAGATCTTAGCTTCAACAAGTTTTCTGGCAATTTACCTGCTGAAATTTCCCAGATCAAGAGTTTGAAGATTTTGATTCTTGCTTATAATAACTTCAGCGGTGGTATACCACAAGAGTATGGGAACATGTTGGGGCTTCAAGTACTTGATCTCTCCTTGAATAGGCTGACCGGTTCGATACCAGCTTCATTTGGAAAGTTGACATCTCTCCTGTGGTTAATGCTTGAGAGTAACTCTCTGTCAGGAGTAATCCCTCAAGAGATTGGAAACTGCACAAGCCTTTTGTGGTTTAACGTGGCAAACAACAAGCTCTCCGGCGGATTGCATCCTCAATTGACAAATATGGGTAGCAATGCTTTTCCAACTTTTGAACTGAATAGGGAGAGCAATGATAGCATAATTTCTGCAACTGGGGAATGCTTGGAATTGACGAGATGGATTCCTGTTAAGTTCCCTCCTTTCCTCTTTATATACGCAATCCTAACGAAAAGGAATTGTAGAAGCCTTTGGCGCCACATTCTTGAAGGGGAGGGTCTCTTTCCTGGGTGCGCTGCTGGTCTCATGGCACACACACTTGAAATACCAGCCTATCTTCAGCTCAGTGGGAATAAGATGTCAGGTGAGATACCTGCAAGCATCTCTCAGATGAAGAGGTTGAGTATGCTTCATCTGGGTTTCAATGAGTTTGAGGGGAGACTGCCTCCAGAGATCGGGAAGTTGCCGCTTTCTTTCCTCAACCTTACCCATAATAATTTCTCAGGCCAGCTTCCCCAAGAAGTCGGAAATCTCAAGTGCCTGCGGAATCTTGATCTGTCTTGGAATAACTTCTCAGGAACCTTTACCAAGAGTTTGAATGACTTGAATGAGCTAAGTACGTTCAACATCTCCTACAACCCTCTCATTTCTGGTGTGATACCACTGACGGGACAACTTTCAACGTTTGAGAAAACATCTTTTCTTGGAAATCCGCTGCTGCAGTTTCCTACTTCCTTCGATAGATCAGGGAATAACACTGGCTCAGAGGAGCTGGATAATGGAGGAAAAGGAGAAGACGAACATGAAGATACTATTGACATGTCCGTCTTCTATTGGAGTACATCTTCAACTTATGTGGCTGCACTAATAGGCATTGTTGCACTTATGTACTTTGATTGTCCTTTGCATCGAGCATGGTTCCGCCTTGTTAATGCTTTCATCGCCTCTGCGAAAAGTATGTTGTCTTAAGATCGTATCAGCTCACTTCTTGGATTCCTCCACATAGAAAAAGAAATGCAAGTACATTGTGTTTCATAAGTATATGTAACGTTTTCATAGAGGTGTGTATGTTCAAGGAGATTTATCCTCTCACAGAATATGATCAAGCCTATAATTATCCATCAATTCCATTGGTAACACACCTAGAATTTACTAAATATTTAATGTTCAAAAAAAATTTTCCTAAATATTTTTCTTTTAAGCTATTGGACAAATGTCCATTTGTCACCATTTATTGACTTTTTTCTCACGAAGAATGAAGATTTACCTTTAAAAAAAACTAGATGATAACCCGCGCACATGCGCGGATGAAATTTTCCTACTAATATTTATTCATTAAATAGTTTTTAACATTTTGCAATACTACAGTATTTATCGATTATAAAATGAGAATTCAAATGTTGGTATCTTAAATCATCATAGATCTGGACGTTTGAGACTTCGTCGGTTTTAGTTTGATTGACAAGTATTTTCAGATTTTGGTATTATTCTCATAAATCCTATTTGAATTTTACTAATTATCGGATTGGATTTGATTTGATCTTCTCAATTAAGTTTGGATTGGATTGTAACCAATATCTGAAATCAACCCCAAAACAATTTGTTAAACATTAAAAGTTGACAAAAAAATCAAAATATTTAAACTATTAATAAATCTAATTTAAAATTAGTTAAATTATCTAAACAAACTAAAAGATATTAAAAAGAGAAGCAAATAAAACAAACTACAAAAATCTTTCGTATACCATAATTTGTATCTACTAACCTCAAACCTTATCACTAAAATTTTTAAATTAACATATTTATAGTATGAATATCTACTAATGATATTTCATATTCGTACGATTTATGATAATCTGTATTTTGTTTGGAAAAAAACAAAGTTAAACCATTTATCATAAAATTTTCAATGTGGGATTTTACTATTTTTAGTTATTTATGGTCGTTTAAAAAAAAGTTAAAAATATAACCTATAAGAAAAATTAAATATTTTTATTATATATTTAAATGTGATTGTTTAATTTATTTTAATAATTTAAAATTAAAAAAGAGAGATACAAAAATATGTATTATTTATAATCACTAATTACATATATATGTTAATCATATTAAGTAATTCCGTAATTTTTATTTAAGGAAATAAAATATATTGTTTTATATCTAGCAGAGTTTGTCCCTTAAAAGATGTCTATATATTATAGTCCTAAATGCAAGAAATTAAATGTTACATTATTTCATTCCTAGCAAAATTGGTCCATTAAAAAATTAAAGCTGAGAAGCTCTGTGAGCTTGACACGTAAGCATGCTCTCCAAGGTTGTGCATTTATGAATGCTTCAGGATTAATATATAAGGGATGCTAACATACATGTTATCATCAACACATATATTCTCCAAAGAATATGACAAAACTTGGAGAAAATTGAAACATGACATTCTCTGATTATGATATGTACCATCTCAATAATAAAACTTTTTTTTTGGTAAAATTTATAATCCTATTATATATTAATTGAAAAGTCACTTAAAGACTTTGACTGGTGACCAAAGAAATGTGTGAGAATAGTTAATTCCTCTTTATTCCTTAAATCTGACACCATTTATAAGGAATCATAATAGTTAATTCTTCTTCATTCCTTAAATTTGACACCATTTATAAGGAATAACTAGGTGACCGGCCCGCACCCTGTGCGGGTATATACAGATTCAAATTATGGACTTAATAATACAAAGTTTTAGAAGTAATAGATTTTATATCATAAGACCACCGTCTTTGAGGTAAAGCATCAGACACAGAAAAATGCTGGTACACAATATTTTACAAGGAGGAGATGGAGCAAAGTAACTTCAGTATCAATATGTAGTTATTGTGTGTATTTATAATTGCAACATCACAAAAAAATTTGTGTGTTGAAGGTTGAATTTTATTTTCCAAATCTGAAATTAATAGTATGTAGTTTTTTATAAGTAACATATTTTCTATTATCACTAATTAGAATTGTATTGTATATGTGTTGTAATTCTTTATTTTAGGTGAAAAATATTATTATGCATAAATACNTGTGTGTATTTATAATTGCAACATCACAAAAAAATTTGTGTGTTGAAGGTTGAATTTTATTTTCCAAATCTGAAATTAATAGTATGTAGTTTTTTATAAGTAACATATTTTCTATTATCACTAATTAGAATTGTATTGTATATGTGTTGTAATTCTTTATTTTAGGTGAAAAATATTATTATGCATAAATACATATTCTTTATTATGCTAAAGTTATTTTATAAACAATTTTTGTTGTTAACATACATTTGTACTAAGCTCTAAATAAATATTTACGTGTTTCACTATGATATTAAGATATTTTAGGAATGTCTAAACAGAGATTTAAAAAGTAAAAACTAATAATCATATGTTTAATCATGTTTGTTAATACAAACACAATATTTATAATGGGCCCGAATTGCACATAGAAATAAGAACTTGAAATACAAAAGATACTAATCCCGGCCCGAATGGCCCAAAGTAAAAACATCTGAACCGATGACAAAATTGTGTGGTCGACGACCAATCACTTTTTTTTTTTTTTAAAAACAGAAAAGGAAAGAACAAAATTTTATGTCTCGATGTTTCTTTATCGAAAGACGATTTCCATGGCCAAACTTTAATCGAAGCTAGAGCACTCATGATACGAACGGCCGCGGCTTACTTGTGGTGGTAAAGATGGAAACGACTGCTTGAAGAGGTGCAAATCGATGGCAGCAAATCAAAGTACTTCACATTTTCCAATCTATTTAGGTGATTTTCTCTATTTTTTCTTTTAGCAGATATAAAAATCTACTCAAATCAAGAAACACCAAGTTTCTCAAATTTAGGAGAGTTCGTGAGTTGATTCCGATGGTATATTCTATTTAGGTGATTTCCTTGGATGCCTTCTCCTCTTTCTCCTTCAGTTCTGTTCTCTCTTTCTGAAGCTGTTCAAGCTCTTCTTTAGATGACCCCACGTTGCCTCTTAAGTTCATATATTTAACTTGTTATGCATGTTGGATCTGAAGGCATCCGTGAAAAACACGAAGAGTTTGAGATGGTTGAAGAACTTCACATTTTCAGGTCTCTTTGACAAATTCCTAAGAAGATTTGAAAGACCATAAAAAGGTAAATCTGATTTCGCATCTTTCTTTTTGATCCATAGTTAATAGTTAATAAAAATCTAATTGTTGTAAAATTGATTCAAAAAAAATCTGAATAACAAAAGCCAAATAACAGTGGCAAGAAAGCCTAAGATTCTTTTGATATTTTCTATTTACTGTTAAAGTTATTAATTACAGCTCTAGTATCTGTGTTTAAGTGTCTTAAAAATGGTGAATTTTTTTTTCCTTTCAGGAATAATATACCCTAAGAGAAAATATTAATATTCAAAATACGAAGATTATGGATTTCATTATTCTATAAAGAGAACATGAATTTAAAATAAAAGATAAGTTATTTCCAGATACTTTATCTTCTTTCACGTTATTATAAATCCTAATTTCCATATAAATACAGCATGATTAGTTTATTAATATGTGTATAAACAACATAATGAAATCATGTTCAAGAAAATACCTATATAGACCGAAGATAAAATCTTAAAGATGAATGAAACATCACATTTGTTGAAGGCATCAGTCTCTGAAATTGCAGGATTAATCAAGAGCTGNTTCAAGAAAATACCTATATAGACCGAAGATAAAATCTTAAAGATGAATGAAACATCACATTTGTTGAAGGCATCAGTCTCTGAAATTGCAGGATTAATCAAGAGCTGTGATGCCTCAAATGCATTGGTGATTTGGAGTTCACCTGCAGCGAATATATAGGTAAGTATATTATAATACAATTAACATCCACTTGAAAATAGTATTATCTATAAATTTTTTTTTAAAATTTAATAGATAAGAAAAGTTTATACCTCTAAATCTCCCGATCCTTACAAACCTGATTAGGTATATGGCTTTTCTTTCTTCTTCTTTACTGCAACCCTCATAGAGGATCTCACACAGCAGGATACACGAGAGTCACTATTTTTAAAAGTAGAATAAGTATTGAATTAATATGAACTTGAAGGATCACTCAAAATAATAAACGTGAGATAAAAAAAATTACTTAATGTTGCGAGGTGTAAACTTCACCGCGACTTGGATAGTTTCAAGCACTCCCAAGTCCATAACCTGACCAATCACATCTGCAATTTTTTTTTTAAAATTAGCGTTTCAGTTATTGAAAATATAATAAAATACATTGATGTAAAAATTACGAATCAGAAAATTTGGGTTGAGTGATCCACTCAAAACAGAGACGGAAAGTCTACCAAACTTAGGAACATGTTTTCATTCACAAGAAGAGATCTTGTGTTTTTGTACTATTGACGATACTCATTTTGTAGGAATGATCGGTTGCTCGATAGGATCTGGTTGTAGGACTGAGGCTATAATTCTGAATGTGTCTCCATGCTTCAACATGAAGAAGGTGTACTTTATTTTCCATGTAAGTCTTCTTGCAAGAGGCATGGATTTTATTTGTAGCTAATGTAGCTGTGAATAGATTTGAGAAAACTTTGGTACTTTATGGGTTTTTATATAGCAGTAGGTTAGTCGATGGCTTCTAACTGACGCTTAAACAAAATCTTTAGTATATTCGGATTCAGTTTAGGAAATCCCTAGAGTATTGATCAAGAAAAAATATTTAAAACTATATTGCTAACGAAAATTTACATATTTTAGCAATATTTACAATTCGTTTGGTACAGAAATCTTTATAATATCTACGATTTAAAGAAACAATATTTTTGAGTAGTTATTATATAGAGTTTCTTCATGGCCAAGCTAAACGATTTAATGCATTTTTAAGGATTTTAAATAATAGTCAGATATTACTTTTATGCATAAAATCAGATAGTTAAACAGCTCGTAACGAATTTAGAATATACCATCGGA